ATTAATAAATTTGACTTAAAAATTAGATTTTAAGGTGATAGTGATTATAAGTGATTTGTGACTATAATGAGGTTTTTACTATATTTTAAGTCCGTCACACAAAATCAGGTGCTTAAATAGAGGTGTGACTATATGGGGTGTGATTATAGGAAGGTCTAACTGTATACAAAACCTGTAAAGTTGTAAATATTAAAAAAAATCAAATTAACAATCAAAGCTAATAAATTTATTAAATTGTAAAACTAACTTGTTTTATTTGTAAATCTAATAAATGCTCAATTATTGTAATTATATTTCTATATCTAATTTATAAACTGTAGTAGAAGTGCCTTCCTTATGACTATACACAAAATTAAAATGAATATAACAGATAAAATAAAAAATTATAATATGGCTAAATGTAAATTAATAAGCTTAATTCAACATCAATGTTTTGAAAAGAAACAAGCCTCACCAAAACCATGTTTATTCCATTAAAAAGTTCGAGACATGCTCAAAATACTCTCATAAAGTGAAAAAATCACAGCAGATCCAGCACCAGTGTAAATAAGATTGTCAGGAATAAAATCACGCACGTCCTCAGCCCAATCGAAATGACCAGCAGTAGTAAAAAATATTCCATATTGTGCAACTGAAAATGCAAGTGGACTATATGCGTGTCGTTGAGGTTCAAGATTGAATATATATGAAAAGCAAAGTGGCAAAACAAATAGATAAAACAAAAATGAAAGCAATGGACGCCAAAAACGATGCCATTCGACAAAAAAGAAGAAATCCGGCACACGTATATCATAAACATCTCTTGAGTCTTTGAAGATAGATGGAATGGGAACAGTGGCAATCTGTAATAATAAAAAAAGAATTATAGAAATATCAACGATTGAGATGTATAATTACGAAAATTTTGAAAATTTTAGCGTATATGAATATAAAATTAACGAACTTTAAAATTCCACTCGATCGCGCAATATAAGAAAACCACAAGTTCACACAGTATGACGCATTGCACAAACGTCCGCGAATTTGAAACATTCTAAAAAAAATAACCTGTTATAAATATTGGCATTTAATGATACTTTGCATAGTATAATGCTAGTCTTGAACACCCACATTTCTCAACTGAAGTAGAAGGTCGTTTATAGTCTGAACCTCCGGAATCCTTGCTATTGGCAAACCACGCGGTGTACCAGATTCAATGTTAGATTCATCGGAGCTTGATGTATCTTGAGACCTAGCATTGATAGTAATTTCCTGCTAATTTTCAAAGTCAATTAGTGGTTTAAATATGACCAGATCTTAAATGGGTTTGCAATGTTCATACCTGTTTACTATCACTATCAGAAGCTTCTGACTCTTCTGGTTCTCTAAGATTAATAAAATAGGTTAAGTTACATTATAAAATAGTACCACAGTTAATTTGAATCGCGAACCTTTCACCGTTTGGAGATGAAATACTTTGTATTTCAGTAGTTGGTTTACTGCTACTACTCAATTTAGAATCTGGACGACTTGACGAAGTACCTATTGGATCAATATCTGTAGAAATTTCTTCATTTTTGGTCTCCAAATGTTTGCTATATATCGTAAAGAAAACAAGATTAATATGCGAACAAATATAGAATATCATATAACTTAGTACCTAATCCTATCTACAAGATCTTTGCGCAAACCAGTCGAATCTAAGCCAAGATCTTCGGCGATTTCTATGGAGACAGTTCCATTCATTGTTTAAACAGATCTTAATCGACAAACACTAGGAAGTAAAAACACAGATATAAGGATCCAAAAGCCTTGTACATACTTATTAAGTCTTGCTTTTTCTTAGTTTTCAGAGAATTTGGGTTAATAGACATTTTTATGAATATGAATAGTAATGAATGTAGTTTATGGAGATCAAAAAAATGCTTTTCTTTGCGACTCGGTTTTGTTTATGCAAATGAAAATATTTTATTAAGTTCATTTTTGACAAACATGGTAATATATGATTTCATGATTTGCGTGTATATTATGATCTACATGAAAATAATACGTGGTTCCATTTTATCAGGAACTGCAATAACAATGAATGGGTATGGGGGGGTATGTATGTATATGCGTACAAATAAATTCTCGCGAATGTTTTTATAAAAAATAAATATTTAGTTCCCATTTATTAGGAACCGCAAATAACAATGAAAATAGGTACAAATAAATTCTAGCGAATGTTTTTATACTACCCTAATGACGTAAAGCCGGAAAACTAAGGATTGGGTCTAGTTGAAAAGTTGATCTATGCCATTGGATTTTATATTCGTATCAATGCAATTTACTCTACACATTAACATTATTGGTTTGTACATATATTTTTAAAAGCTTGTTCTTAACAATTAAGGATTATCCGTAGATTACAAGGATTATCCATAGCGATAGACTACAGCAGTGTATAAATTCTGAAAAAAATTTTTTTGTGCACATTTTAAAAATTGTATATAAAATTGTGCACACTAAAAAAAAAATTGTGCACACGGATTAATTATCGTTACCCATAAATTACGGTAGCGAACAGTTATTTCATTGGCTGCGAATGTGATCTGCTGATTTATATTTTTTGATAATTGGTCTGAAATTTGTATAAATTTTAATCAAAATTTATACTATCGTCTAAAATTCAATATTGTCGTTATGTTAAAAATTATTACTCGTCCGATGAAATTTTCTATGATATCTCGTAAATCAATTTTACCAATGGTCCAACATAATCTAAAGTCATCCTCTAACACTGTCGCATCATCCACTGAAACGAGTGCGAATAAATTAACTGTTTGGAATGTTTATGGAACTCCTTTAACTAACATTTTTCTTTGGGGTTCGATAACCTATATGGGTTTACAAGTTTTGTGGTGGAAATTGGAATTTGCTGAACTTATTGAAGAAACGGATAATAAGATTGCAAGTTTAGAGAAAGAAATAGAGATATTAAAAAAAAGTAAAAGTTATTAGTGATTGTAGTCGACTGAAAACTTATAAGTTTGGTTGAGTCGATGATTTTGAATTATAGCTATTTTCATAAAATTTGGTGCATCTGATAAGAATTAGCCGAATAAAATATCTGGTCATTCGATAAGTTTGTAATTTCGGTAATGCTGTAATGGTCAATATATATGACGGTATGACACTTTCTAAGCATATTCGTCGAAAATTGAAAAAAATTAAGAATGCTTGACAGTTCAGGTAATTGCCAAACATCTGGATGTTAGCAAGTTTTCTGTGAATCAGATTCTCAAATAATTTGACGTGTTGAAATTTTTAGCAGCTTAGAAAATCATGTTTGTTAAATCTGGATAATTTAAATATTTTAAACAGCATCAGAATGTAGTCCAAGTTTCTGGAATTATATCTAAAAATGATTCAATTAGTATTGATTTGGGTTTGTATAGGTTGGGTAGAATTATTAATTGTCACAGATCATAATAAAATCGGATTAAAATGAAACAAGGTTCGCGTCGGAGAGGGGCAGTTGCAGTGAGTATCTAGTAGAGTCATAGTCGAGACCCAGATTATTGACCAAGTTGACGTTAAAAAAACATCAATCTAATATAAGCTTTAATCAATCAAGTCAATTTAAGAAACTCAAGAAACAAATAAATAAATCATGACTCTAAAGCCAAAGTCCACTTAAGTGGATTCTGAATTCCAAGAATCCGAGTTCGCCTACAACATATAATTATTTTAGATTCAGGGTTCTATATAGTGTTGTCATTGGACAATATTAAATAAATTTAACTTATCTTTGAACATTTAGACTATGTTTAATTTGTCCAAACAACGTTATAGACCATTAGGCATTGGATATTGTTCAATAAAGTTTAAACTTAATTAAATATATGTCTATATATGTCAAATCGGATGATGCTAAAATTTGGGGTCTTAATTTGAAAATATAAACCCTACTAAAATCAACCTATAGTCTTTAGTTATAAACACTAATCCTAAATTCTAATCGAACTATAAAAAAAGTTTTTTAATATTTATATAAATTAATATAAATAATTTAACAAAAAAAGTTATGAATAAGTTAGTTAAAGACTAAATATAAACTGATTCGATTATAAATTTTAAAACTTATATTTAGAGATTGTTTTTGTATAGAAGTTACCTGGTGACCTGTATAATATCTATTAATCAGCCACAACCAACCAATTAATTTTTATAAATCAATTAGCAAAATCATATTAACTATAATATTGTATGGAAATTGCTATTTTTACTATGGTAAATTGCTATTTTCACCATGGGTTATACAAGAATTTCTATTTTTAGTATAGTGCAGAAAGTCTTAACTCACCAATATAATAGATGATTTTTAAAATCTATTAATTTTTTAAAAAATTAAAAATTTAAAAAACTAACTAGTAATTTTGTTTTTCAAAACAAGCTCTACAAAATTACCGATCAAATTTTAAAAATATATTCTCTATAAAGAGTTAATAGCTTTTAAAGTTAGATTATTTTTATATTAAAATAAAAATTAAAATATATATAATTTTTAATTTGGACCAATCAAAAACTTGGATTTTTATTATAAAAATTTTTGACCAATTAAAATTTAGCTTTAAAAAAATAAAATTTTTTAAAAAATTTTTTAATTTAGTTTATATTATCTATTCTAACAACCTGATTGGTTAATTTAGATTATACTATATACTGTATATAAAATTTAAACATTAATTAGTTAAAATTTCTTGCATTATATTTAATATAAAAAATATAATAAGTTAGTTATAACTAATTTTTACCTGTAGTGATATTATCTAGTATTATTAAATTTTTATTAAAAATAAAATAATTTATGATTATAAGTTAGTTTTTATAACAAAATTTTAAAATAAATAGATATTATATAAAGAAAATTATAGATAGCGATTTATCACTATGGCAACCCCGTAATTAGCCAATTATTTTTAAGATCAGCAATCATATATAAACAATAAATATTCTTTGATAATCATTGTTTTTTTTTTGTGGTTTGTTTTTTTTATTTTAAATAGTTTTTTTTTTAAGTATAGTTTTTGTTGTTGGAGTTGTCATTAAAGCTGTTACTAGAACCGTCGTTGAAGTCTTGGATTAGAGCCGTCGCGAAGTTGGGATCTTATACTGGGTTTCGTTAGTGTTTTCAGGCTTTTGTTATTCTGGTGCTATTATTTGTATACTATCATTCATGTGTCGTAGTTTGTAAAAATTTTAGAAAAAAGCATTTGCAAATATACTTTGCAAAAACACTATGATGATTTTTTTAAATCTTAAACGTAAATCTAAGATATATTTTTTTCTTTTTTTGTTTGAATTTTTTTTTTTGTTTGATTATTTTTTTTTACTTTTTTTTCTTTGAACTAACACTTCTTTTTTTTTTTATAGATTTGCCTTCAGGACCAGATAGTCAAAAATAGAAGAAGTTTCGTTAGTGATTTTAGGCTTTTGTTGTTTGCTATTATTTGTAGGAATTTCAGAGAAAAGTATTTGCAAATGCATTTTCAAAAACACTATACTAAATTTTTTGAATTTTGGACAAAATCTGAAATATGTTATTTTTCTTTTTTTTTGTTTGATTTTTTTTCACTTTTTTTCTTCAAACTAACACTTTTTTTTTTTATTTGTAGGTTTGCCTTTAGGATCAGATAATTGAGAATAGAACTAGTTTTGTTAGTGATTTCAGGCTTTCATCATTCATGAGAATTTCAGAGAAAGTATTTGCAAATACACTTTGCAAAAATACTATACTGACTTTTATAAATCTTGGACGTAAATTGGAGATATATATTATTATTATTTTTTTTCGTTTGATTTTTTTTTTACTTTTCTTTCTTTGAACTAATGCTTTTCTTTATTTTATTTTTTTTTTATAGATTTGTTTTGGGATCAGACAGTCAAAAATAGAACTAGTTTCATTGGTGATTTCAGGCTTTTGTTATTCTGATGCTATCAAAATTCTGGAAAAATATTTGCAAATACACTTTGCAAAAACACTACACTGACTTTTTTAAATCTTGAACGTAAATCAGAGATATATTTTTTTTTTCGCTATTTGATTTTTGTTTTTTTTTGCTTTTCTTTTTTTAAACTAATACTTTTTTTTTGTAGATTTGCTTTACTCAAAAACCAAGTATTGGAGATAAGAATCAGGATGGTTCTGAGCTTTTGTCATTCAGTACCATCATTTAAGGAGTATGGAGATTTTGATCTATCATTCCAGTTTCATTAGTAATTTAGACTTTGTTTTTTTTTTTTTTT